CACAAAATTAAAATACAAACGGAAAATGAATGAGGTTTAGGTGAACTGTTAACCATTATTGATACCTTACCCCACCGTCTCTAACTATCAGATCAATGCAATTACCATCATTGCTCTATAAAATGTCATTCCTTCAGTATCAATTATCACGATTTGATTCAAACCCCTTAAAACTTTTAACCATATATGTAGCCGTGTAGGTAATCTTAATGTGTATATAACACTGATTGTATTTATACAATTAATTATAAAAAAAATTTAAATTTAAATTTCATATATTTTAAATTTATAAAAGAGATAAATTATTAAAAAATAAGTAGAGACAACATAAATTAATTAAAAAGAAAAGAATGCTTTAATCAAATACTATGGCTTGATTTTTACAACCATATATAAAAGAAACAAAAATTGCTTTCTTCCATTTAGATTGGATACAGTGAGAGTTGCTATTAAGAGTATTTTTCATGATTTAAATTGCACTTATATAGTGTAGACCAAAAAAGAAAAGAAAAAAAATCCTCCAAAAAGAATGTTTTAATTAAATTAAACTAGTCCTTGAAATGGGTTTTGATATGGGTTGATTTTTATATCTTTATATATGATCATTAAAATGATGCTTCATCGTCACACCAATACATCTTTAAAGCACAATTAATTACATTTATAAGAGGCAAAGGGCCCGATGTCTCAGGGTGTTTTGCTCTTTTAGCCAAGCCAACCTTCCTTTCTTCCTCTACACTAATCCTTTTGAACAAGACACTTGTGTAAAAGATGCCCCCTCTTTTCCTTCTGTTTTAATTTAGATTAAACAATAACTTCTACAGTTCTACACGTGGTTGGTCTGGTTTTGACCATCCAGTTCCATTAATAACCCGTACGATGACTCCTTAAGATTAACCCTTACCATGTTCATAAATGAGACATCACATGACGGAACGCACCAACTTACCCGCCACTGTCTCAGACACCGTCCCTCTTATGCACAAAAACAGACAAACAGAGATTGGAAAGAATTTTCTGTCATGAGTGTGTTACAGGTTGTAAAATTTTAAGAAAATGATATGAAATCCACATGCAAACAAGGAACATCACATCTTTTGGTCGTGATCATGGGGCTTGTAATTTTATGGGTAAATTAGTTTTGGTGATGTTAACATGTCTTTTATTGATTTGTCTAAGAATGGCGAAACTGTCGGTGCTAACAAGAACTTTACACCTTGGGATCTATATTAACTTTAAGAATTTAATTTTTAATTTTTTTTAATCTAAAAAATTTATTGCAACTATTGTCAAGTAAATTTATAACATTATATATTATTATAATTTAATATTATTAAATTACAACTAATTTAATGTACGTAAGTGTATATATATGTATATGATGGTATTGACCGAAAATCTTGCTTCTTTTTTTTTTTTTTAAATCAATCACTTCTTTCAGACTTTCGATCTAGATTAACAATAAAGATTATACTTAAAGGTATATGTGATGTGAATTGTTTTAAGCGTTTAATTCTATTAGATTTAGTTGAATAGAAAAGAATGTTCTAAGTTGATATTTATGAAAATAAAACATACAAAAATATCATGAAATTTATTAATTCGTTAAAAATATTTAAATATAGATATTTTTGTATTTTTTTACGAGTCTGGCCAAAAAATTTGTAACCCTTACCAATTGAAATATATAATTTTTTTAAGGATATAATAGAGATCGTAATTTTAAATTGAAAATATTGTATTAATAATTTAAATAATTTACTAATAATTTTTTATATTAAATCTTTAATATTTAAGAGTTATATTAAATTTTGATTAATTTAAATTTAACTCGTATTAAATTCATAAAAAAAAAACTTTTTGTTTCAAACTCAAAATCATATTTTAAAAAATTGAACTCTTTTAATTTAAATTAATAAATTATTGATTAGTGATAACTCTTTTTAATAAAATATACTAAGTTTAAATCTCATTACATAGATGAGATTTGTTAAGAAATGTGAGGTTTTTTTTTTTTTTTTTTTTTGAACATTTTGATACGGGGCGAGTTCGAAACCCGTCCAGGGAAGGGAAAATGCACCTAGCAAGCTGACTAATGACAGTGGGCTTCTATGCCAAGGTGCAGAAATGTGAGGTTTCTTATTGCAGAATACAAAATAAAAATGATAAAATTGGGGGTATTGTAATATGGTCTTTCCTGTAGAGAGACTATATTATTTTTAATGATTAATGGAAGAGTGGGTCGCAATGCAGTCTAGTCACAGAACACTTCACACTTCTATTCTAAATTCATTTGGCTTGTAATTCCTTCTCTTTTCTTAGTGGTGGTCATTGCAATGATGCAATGATTGTTTCAAATTTGCTTTTTTTGCTTTTTCTTTTTATTTCTCGTTAAGCAACAAATTCAAATATATTTAATTGTTATTTTTGTTGAAGTTCTATAAAGAATAGCAAACAAGTCCATTGCTTTATGCAGGCCGAAATCCAAACTTTGCACAATGCTACTTCAACGGTAGCAATTCAGAGTCTCAAAGTCTTCTCACCCAGCCTCGCTCCATTTCACCATTCCTGAGCTCGTTCGCTCAACAAGGTGACAGAGGGAAATGGCCCAAATGGGAACTTGCTCGCTTTCCAAGCTGCTGTTTTTCTTCTTCACAACCTTGCTTCTGGTGTCTCAGTTGATTCAATGCAGCATTACCTACGACAAGAAGGCTATCATCATCAACGGGCAAAGGAGAATCCTCATCTCCGGTTCTATTCACTATCCCAGAAGCACCCCTGAAGTATCTTGCCTTTACCCTTTTTCTTGTCTTACTTCTCTTTTCAAAAAGATGGTATGAAACTGAAAATCAGATTGTTTTTTTGAACTTCTATGGTTTTTTTTTTTTTTCTGGGTGTAGATGTGGGAAGATCTTATAAGGAAGGCTAAAGATGGAGGTCTGGATGTTATAGACACCTATGTTTTTTGGAATGGTCATGAACCTTCTCCTGGCAATGTACTCTTCCAGATCTCTCTACTGACCTTCACTTGTAATCATTATTTTCACTGTTCATCTTCTACATTTCAATTTTTTATGTGGGTGATTTCAATTTATTCAGCATTTTTTGTTTCCACTTATGGGGTTTTAGTATAATTTTGAGGGGAGATACGACTTGGTGCGATTCATCAAGACTGTACAGAAAGTGGGGTTACATGTTCATCTCAGGATTGGACCTTACATCTGTTCGGAGTGGAATTTTGGGTACTGTTCTTACTCATTTCTTTCTATTTTTTTCTGTGTTAAAAGATTTTCTTTTTCTTAGTAGGTTGCAGAGAAAGTACTTTCCTTTATAAAGAAGCATTATCTTACATTGTCTGGGCATAATTGCTAACTGCTGGACTTAAATTGCTTTTATTGCTTACAGTATCTTTCTGTATTCTGCTACAGAGGGTTTCCAGTTTGGCTTAAGTATGTTCCTGGTATCAGCTTCAGAGCGAATAATGAGCCTTTCAAGGTATTTTCTGTGTCCTTTTTTTTCGTCCTTCTCCAATTAATGTTGCTTCCTCACTGCTCCGTAAGACTGTTTTGTTCAAAAGTCTAAAAAAAATAATAATAAAAGAAAGTAGAGAAGGGCCTCTTTCTCATATTGAAGTGAAAGTTTGATAAAGCTAATATGGATTTAAGAATTTCAAGAATTTCAAACAGTCCATGTTTCTTTACCTTTTCCAATCTTCATGAAGATGGCAATGCAAGGTTTTACTCAGAAGATTGTCCAAATGATGAAGAATGAAAATTTGTTTGCCTCACAAGGTGGCCCCATCATCCTCTCTCAGGTGAGAGGTTCTTGGTATTTGGAATTTTTACATCTCAACTTAATGGGATCTTTTCGGCTCAACTTTTAGTCATAACTTTGATTTTCTAAAGTAGACAGTAATAACTGAAGATGCTTTGCTCATTTCTGTAGATTGAGAATGAATATGGGTCTCAGAGTAAATCACGTGATGGTGCTGCATACATTGATTGGGCTGCAAAAATGGCTGTGGGACTGGATACCGGAGTCCCGTGGGTGATGTGCAAGGAAGATGATGCCCCAGACCCTGTGGTGAGCTCTCTTATTCATTGTTCTTGATAGAGTTGTCTTCATTTATCTAATGATTTACTTTCAGCCAAATCATCTTTTGTGTTCATTATTCTGATGCTGTCTCAAGCAAGCTGACCTTGTTTCTTGGTATACTGTATGCAGATAAATACATGTAATGGTTTCTACTGTGATTATTTTTCTCCCAACAAACCTTACAAGCCTACATTGTGGACAGAGGCTTGGAGTGGCTGGTAAGTATTGTCTATCTGCTATCGGCAATATTCAAAGTTGATGTTGTGGATATAAATTAATTATTCAAGTTACTGATAGGGGTATCTATTATTTTCCTCATAATTACAGGTTTACAGAGTTTGGTGGTGCAATTCACCAGCGACCAGTCCAAGACTTAGCATTTGCAGTTGCTCGCTTCATACAAAAGGGTGGTTCATTTGTTAATTACTATATGGTCAGTACTGCCTTTGCCTTAGTTCCATTTTAATTGCAGAAGACTTACTGCTTTATCAGTAAGGTTTAGCTCTTAGCTAATATTTCACTTGTGATAGTACCATGGAGGGACCAATTTTGGACGCACTGCTGGGGGACCATTCATTACAACCAGTTATGACTATGATGCTCCAATTGATGAATATGGTGAGATAAGTAATTTTATTGTTCACTCTTAAAATTAAGAATTTAAATTTTTTAAGTGTTTTTGGATTTCAACAATCAACAAATGCTATCTCTGAATTGTTTCCCCCAACTCAACTCTTTGGTGAACTATTTCTGAATTTTCAAAAGAATTTATGAAATATGTGCTGAATTTCTAGCCATCAACATTCTTCTTCAGTTCTTCTCCCTGTGGAGGGGAGGGGAGGGGAGGGGAGGGGAGTGATGAATTTTTTGACTAATCAAATTGCAATATTTGAAAATGTTATAATTTGATTGGTTAAAAAACTCATCCCTCTCCCCCCTTGTCCACCATTTCCCTCAAACCAAACATACTAGTAGTCCTGTCCTGCTCCCACTTTCCTTCTTTTTCATGGTCTCATAGACTCTGTCTTTCTTCCTATGGCTTCCCATTGTATTGTCACAAATATCATCTCAGAGATTCAACTGAAAACCTTTCCATGTTCAGGTTTAATCCGGCAACCAAAATATGGTCATCTGCAGGAGCTTCACAAGGCTATTAAGCTATGTGAACATGCTTTAGTTTCTTCAGATCCTGTTGTTACTTCAATTGGAACCTATCAGCAGGTTAGCTTCTCGTTGTATGATATTTGCTTCTACTTTTTGTACTAGGACATTTTCTGTCACTATTTACAAGCCAGCTTTTTTGATGACACTGTTAACTCAAGAATGGTTATCGTGTAGGCTCATGTATTCTCTTCAGGGCAAGGAAATTGTGCGGCTTTTCTCTCCAATTTCCATGCAAGCTCTGCTGCTACAGTTATTTTTAATAACAGACACTATAACTTACCCTCTTGGTCTATTAGCATCCTTCCAGATTGCAAAAATATGGTGTTTAATACTGCCAGTGTAAGTAAAATTCTAGTAGAACATTTGCAATCTCTTTCAGAATTACAGTCTATTGGCACAGTAGTAGAGCTTTTTTCTTTCTTTCTTTTTTGCAAATCTTTTTTATTGTCTTGTGAAATTGCTGATATGATTGTCTTGTTGTCATCAAGGTTGGAGTTCAAACTTCAGGAATGCAAATGTTACCCACCAATTCCATGATGTTCTCATGGGGGACATATGATGAGGATATCTCTTCCCTGGGGGAAGATTCAACAATTACAGCTGCTGGACTCTTGGAGCAGATAAATGTTACCAGAGATAGCAGTGACTATCTATGGTACATAACCAGGTGAGGCTTTGAGAATTTGGTATCTTAACTATGTGACAGGAATGTTAGGTAGTGCTGCTATCTCATACACAATTTTTTTGGTCAATATCTCATGTTGATTTAGGGTTTCTTGCTTCTATTTTTAAGTTGGGCTTCTCAACCTCTTGAAAATTTTAGATTGATATCATGATGTCATAACGTATAGATTGTTTCATATTGTTAAGACATTTCATTGTAATATTTACTCTTATGGTCTACATTTCCTTCCAGTGTTGACATTAGTCCATCAGAATTATTTTTGCAACGGGGACAAAAGCCTACTCTCACAGTGAATTCAGCTGGTCATGCTGTTCATGTCTTCATCAATGGACTGTTTTCAGGTATTATGGTGACTCAATTATATCAAACTTTAAAAAAAAAGAAATACAGCTTACTGATGCTAAATTATATTTTAAAAAACAGGGTCATCTTTTGGGACCAGGGAGAACAGGGAATGTAAATTTTCAGGACCAGTCCACCTACAAGCTGGAACAAATCGAATTGCACTTCTAAGCATTGCCGTTGGATTGCCGGTTAGTTCTTGGCTGTGGCTATTCTGATACAAACTAGCTGAAGTTGTAATAACTAGCCTTTTAAGCTCATAAATATCCTGGCGGTTGTTTCAGTTACTAATTACTTATTTATGATATTGCTAAAGAATGTTGGACTCCATTATGAGACTTGGAACACAGGAATTCGAGGTGTTGTGCTCAATGGTCTGGACCAAGGAAACAAAGATTTGACATGGCAGAAATGGTCCTACCAGGTTTGACAACATACACACATCTTCAGCTCCAAGTATCCTTTTTTAGCCCATCTCAACCCATGTTTTAAAAGTTAAGCCTCACATGACTTTTCTTAAACAGGTTGGTTTGAAAGGAGAAACAATGAATTTGGTCTCTCCAAGTCAGGACTCACCTGTTGATTGGAGCCGAGGATCATTGGCTGCCCAAAACAACCGGCCTTTGACATGGTACAAGGTAGGAAAGCAAATGTGGGGTGGGGGACTAGAAGTGTGATTGGTATAAATGGAATAACCAGATTGTAGCAGAAGTTAAATCTTGGCTTGGATGTTTCAGGCAAATTTCAATGCACCAGATGGAGATGAACCATTGGCTTTGGATATGAGGAGTATGGGAAAAGGTCAAGTATGGGTGAACGGGCAGAGTATAGGAAGATACTGGATGGCTTATGCCAAGGGTGACTGCAATACTTGCAGCTACTCTGGGACATACCGGACTACAAAATGCCAGAGTGGATGCAACCAGCCAACCCAGCAATGGTATGACTTCCCAGATTACTAAGCTTCAATGTTAGATTAGGATCTTTGTAATTCAACTAATTCTTTAAATCATAAATTATATCCTAGTAAAACTAAATTCTAATTTTTTCAGGTACCATGTTCCAAGATCCTGGTTAAAGCCAAAACAGAATTTGTTAGTAGTTTTTGAAGAACTTGGTGGGGATGCATCAAAAATATCTCTTGTGAGGAGATCAGTGACCAGAGTATGTGCTGATGCATATGAAAATCACCGTACTATTGAAAACTATAGTATTGAAAGCAATAGAGAACCAAAGGTGCTTCAAGGGGCCAAAGTTCATCTGCAATGCACCACAGGGCAGTCGATATCATCTATTAAGTTTGCAAGCTTTGGAAATCCAGCTGGAACCTGTGGAAGTTTACAGAAGGGAACCTGCCATGCACCAAATTCTCTAGCGATTTTAGAGAAGGTACTTGCCAACCTATGGTTGTGGACTTATTTGCAATTGTACAAACTAAAAACCAACTCTCTCAGTGAAATGGATCATATACTGATTTTTTTTCCTTTTTTAGTGAAATGGAACGTATACTGATTTTTTTTAATTACTATGCTTGACAGGAATGCTTAGGAAAGGAGAGCTGCTTGGTTAACGTATCCCATGGAAAGTTTGGAACAGATCCATGTCCAAATATGTTAAAGCGGTTATCAGTTGAAGCTGTTTGTTCTACGTCAAGCACAACCGCCCAACCAAACTCAAGGTGATCAAGATACCCTTATGGGAAGAGGTTAACATCCCAATTAAGTAACATTGTTCATACACCATGTTGAGGGATGGAGCTTGGGAAAGGAGCCAAGAAGAAAACAAGAACTAAGAGGTGATGATCCTCCTGTTTCATTATCTCAATGCTCTTTTTATAATTGTTCCCAGCATATAGTTAAAAGATGTTAGATTCAGGTAGTTATTAGGTTTAGGATGGTTGGCTTATGAGAAGTACCTGTCAGTGGCTCTCATGGTAAAGCTACTATTCCTAGCCTTTCAGGAAAAGATTGTCACTTAATAATTCTTGTAATGTAAAGCTACAAGGAATAATGGTGAGAAAGGGTGTTTGGTTTTATAGTGTAGAGGCAGATGCGTTCTATTACTCTAGTTGAATATGTCATCTGTCTCATTTCTCTACCTATTCAAGCAATTTCCTTTCTCTTTTGACATCAAAAACAACATTCAAAGAATATAAAACACCCATTATAGCCTCGTTAGAATGGTTACTGCACTGTTCCTTCCATTGGCCAGAAAGCATTACAGATACTAAAGCTACAATTCTTTGGCTTTTTGGGGAAGATCATGACTACTTGAATATTTCTTTAGACAGATTGGTTCTATTGTAGTCAAATTTGTGATCCCTCTCCGTCTCACATTGCTTTAGAAAGAGAGAGAGAGAAAAAAAAAAAAGACATGTCGGGACTTACACCAAAGCCAGAGACCAGCGTCCAAGTCATGCCTTCCTGTTGCAACTTTGCAATCACAGTGAATTATCGAATATTGCTAGGGAATTTCAAAGAAAACTAATCAATTAAACGAATAATTTGCGAGGAAATTTCTTCACAAAGAAAGGTAATCAAATGATCTATCAAATCAAACATGTTTACAAAACCAACTTTGTAGACCCGTATCTCTTTTTTTTTTCTTTTTTTGAGAAAGACAATAATTAAATGTGGTAGTATATTAAAAGTGTTAAGAAAGATATTAAACTCAAAACATAAAATGCAAACCACAAGCACACTAAAAAACCAGCACGTGACACCTGGCTTTTAGACCCGTATCTAATTGTTAAAGAACTGTAGCCCGACGGCCGAAAATTAAGAGCCCATAATTTTTCTATGGTAACGAACCGGACCGAAGCCCACCCATGTGCCCTATTAAATCTCCAGATTGCCCAACTCCCACGTGTGGTATTCCAATTTCCAAGCCAGTAGCCGCCATATATTATGATAAAATAAAATAGATTGAAAATCATTTTCACATATCTAACAACACAAGCACTTGGACTTCCACCTTCTCCTCCAATGGCTCTGCTTCAACTAATCCTTTCTCCTTCTTCCTCCTCTCCCCCTCACCAGCCCTCCATAAACCCATCCACATCCGCCCCCACTACCTTAAACCCTAATTGGAAGCTCCTTTTCGGACCGCCACTGGTATTCCGGTCGCTTCTCAGCCGCAGATTTCAACGCCTCAGCTCTCTCCGTTGCTCCGCCTCATCTTTCCCTGAGAACCACCACACGAATCAGCCCAAGTTCGATGACGTTGTAGAGCTTCCTCTGTTCCCTCTCCCTTTGGTTCTCTTCCCTGGCGCCATCCTTCCTTTGCAGATCTTCGAGTTCCGGTACCGCATTATGATGCACACCCTCCTCCAGACCGATCTCCGCTTCGGCGTTATCTATTCCGATGCTGTCACCGGCACTGCCGATGTGGGTTGCGTTGGAGAGGTCGTCAAACACGAGCGCCTCGTGGATGACAGGTTCTTCCTCATATGCAAAGGACAAGAACGCTTCCGTGTCACCAGTATTGTTCGCACGAAGCCATATCTCGTTGCCGAGGTCAACTGGCTCGAGGATAGGCCGTCTGGGAATGAGGACCTTGAGGAGTTGGCTAACGATGTGGAAGGGTATATGAAGGATGTGATTCGGCTCTCCAATCGACTAAACGGGAAGCCAGAGAAGGAAGCTCATGATCTTCGGAGAAACCTGTTTCCAACTCCCTTTTCATTTTTTGTGGGTAGCACCTTTGAGGGGGCGCCAAGGGAGCAGCAGGTCTTGTTGGAGTTGGAGGATACCGCAACCAGGTTAAAGAGGGAAAAAGAGACATTGAAGAATACCCTGAATTACTTAACGGCGGCTTCTGCAGTGAATGATGTGTTTCCCTCTTCATGATCCTTTATGGATTAATCATCTGGGTGAGAATTTGGTAAATGTTGGCATTCATCTGTGCCTTTATACACAAAGGATTTATAAAGGAGTAAATTTTGATGTTCAATCACTTTGTTTCTCAGTGCTTTTAGTTAGAATTTTGAATGAATCATTGGTGTTCATTGTTCATACACTCAATAAAAGCTTTCACTGAGTAAATTCTGATTCACTAAATGAGATTCTTTTGTTTTTTTGCCATAATCCATAGAGGAAATGAGATGAATCAGAAAACTATTGGATAGCACGGCAATCTTTCATTATTTGATCTCATTCAAGATAAAAAGTGTAGTCCTTTTCCTTTGTGCTAAAAAAATGCAAGTTCAGAAGTTCGACATGAGTATTCAAAAAATCTCACTAACAAATGGGATAAAGATTCTATCAAAACAATGCCTCAACAATGGACCTCCAACTGCTTAACTTCCCCGAAGAGCCTCTCTTCCTAAGATAGTTCATTCCTGTTGTGTTTCCAGCATGCTGCAAGCATAAAATTGTCCATTGTTAACTGAGAGATTAACTACATATTAGATTTCTTGGGTAATAACAAACATTCAGCCTCCAGTGGATAATGGATATCCAAATAACTTTCATGCATTGCCTTTCACACAAAACTAAGATGAGTTTTAAAGGAAGAGAAGAGGGCAAGTTGGTACTGGTACTGACCTTCAGGCATTGGTTACTCTGAGTATCACAGACTGGATAATCATGAGGACAACAATGAAGGTTATCCTTACAACACACAGCAGAGTCCAACTCACAGCATTTCCATGAAAGGCATATTCCAAGAATTCGATATGTGCAACAGCAGGTTTCCCCTTCTATACAGTAGGTGAAAAGATCACACCTAGTTGGTCCTGGAGGAGGTGAGGGAGGTGGATTCGGACTGCTCTTGATTGGATATGAAGCTAGCATGTTTATACCACAGAGCCCTTGAGAATTGCCATTGTTTCTCAGCATGTAAATGTAACCATTCATTCCCCACCTTGTTCCCCATGAGTTCTTCACAATCCAGTAGTCTTTTCCATTTTCTGAACCATACCCCACAATTAATACAGCATGATCCAAACTAGTAGAACATGGACCGGTAAATATCCCCTGTAACATGAATAACCGAAACATCATTGATCATAATGAACATAGCAGAAGCATATTCTATTTGAAAACCATTAGGATTTAGGACTAACCTTGGAGTAGAGCTGAAATGCTCTCTCACTGCCACATATGCCAACGCTTACAGGTTGAGTTGCTACTGCTTTTAGAAGTTGTTGTTCATCATTTGGCGGCACATCTTTATAACGATCAATTGTCACAACGCGTCTTTTCAGCTGCATTGAACAAGAACATAAAAGGTTAGAACTTTTGAGTGCATTGAAGCAAAAGAATGCAGGGAACTGAATCAATTACCCTGTCCTTGTTGCAGGACTTTTCGCGGCCTTGATATGGGTAATCTGCTTCAGTGTCAATTCCATGGTTATCAATGATAAACTGAAATGCATAGTCCATGAGACCACCACCGCAGCCACTGTTGTAAGATTTGTCACAATCAATCAACTCTTGTTCTGAAAGGCTCACAAGTGAGCCGGCGACAATTTTATTTATACCTTCTATAGCTCCTGTAGCTGAGAATGCCCAACAAGCACCTAAAGGACTATGACAATTAGTTTCTCTAAATTAGACAATAAAATAAACAATTCAGTCCAACTACACATCTAAAAAGACTAAATCCAAAGCTCTCTGAAATACACAGATAAAAGATAAATCCGATGAATCCAGCAAAAAAGTACAGTACAAGAAACGAAAAAGATAAAGAAAATTTTAGCATACCACAGCTGGCTTGATCTTTGACATTGGTCACTGCACCCTCCTTCCTCCAATCCACGGAAGCAGGAATATCACCGACGGAGCCTAACTTCTGAATATTTGGCCGATTGAAATCGATTGCCGAAGCAGCAGCAGCGAGACCTAAGCGAGAGGCCTTGAACTCGTGGTGGGTGAGATCAGCGAAGGCATTGAGAGCCAGAGTATAAGAAGAATTGGGCATGGCGTTGTGCTGAGTAACGAAGGCATGGTTGTCTTCGAAGACTCTGAGTCTATACAACCTCTCCTCTTCCGATGAGTATGACTTGCCATGCTGCTCGCACCAAGCATCAAAGAGCTGGGAGATTGGTGAAGAAGAAGATAAAGATACAGAAGAAAGGTCAAAGAAAAGGAGAAGGGTGAAGAGAAAGAAAGAACACGGAAAGTTCATCTTCTTTTTGGGGAGAAAAGGAGAAAATTTTGGGGCTATAACGCTACTGGGGAAGAAAATAGGAGCCTAGACCTAGAAGTGCGTTGGGCTAAAGAAAGGTTTGGATTTTGGGACTTTGGAATGTCTTGCTCGTTGTAGTTCTAACTTTTCCAAACGGACCAAACTCCTAAATTCTAGTAAGATCCAACCCTTTTTTTTTATTATTATTATTTTTACCCCAGTAAGATCTAGATTTTTTTTTTAACAATAAAAAATTTTTTCAAAAAAAAAAAAAAAAAAAAAAAGGAGAACTTGGGATTAGAATCCAGTTCTGGGTAATTCTAAGCACATTCTGTAAAGAAGAACCAGTAAACCCTTAAGCACATTTTGTAAAGAGGAACCAGTAAGTCGCGAAGTGCTGAATCAGTAAGTCCGAATTGCTGAACCAATAAGATCTAGACTTAGTTTGGTAATTTTTTTAATGTTTAATTTTTAGTTTTTATGTTTTTTTTTATTATTTTAAATATGTATAAAAAATTAATTAAAATAAATACCAAATGTATTATACATATTTTTAAAATATTTTAAAAAATTTATAATTATAATTATATATTAATATTGTCAACCTAACCTTAGTTTTTAAAAACAAAACGTTCTTGAAGTTTAAGAACCAC